GTGTGTGTGTGTGTGTGTGTGTGTGTGTGTGTGTGTGTGTGTTTGTGTGTGTGTGTGTGTGTGTGTGTGTGTGTGTGCGCGCGCGCGCGAGTGAGAGAGCGAGTGTGTAGCTGACACCTGCCTAGGCACACATGGCAAAGGGCACAAACAATAGGCATGGTGCCAGTAGCCCTGCCATCGCGAATTGCAAGATCCTATCCGCGCGCGGCCGCCTCTCAACGCGAGCTCCCCGACCTGCTCCGCCTTCCGCAGCGAGTACCTGGGCGTTCGCGCAGCCAGGGGCCAGGCGGGCGGCGGTCCCCAGCAGGACTGGCTCAGTCTCCAGCGCCAGCCGCACCACCTGCCCGTGGGTGTGATGGTTTCGAGCATTGCAATATTGTGTCTGGGCGTGTGGGTGTTTCATAACTTTTGATGCTCTGTGCATATGGAAAATGTGCGGGTATGCAGGAGGTGCCTAGCTTTTTGGCAGTCGAACAGGCAGCCTTGAATGGTCGCAAGGAGAGGAAAACATCGCAGTCCCGCAAGCCGGCTAGATGATGCCCCCGCCAATCTGCAGTCCAGAGAGTCGCAGACGAGCAGCACCCCATACTTGCACCCCAAACTTTGCACCTCAGACCTTGCGCCCCCCAACTTTGCACCCCACAATTTGCACCCCAAACGTGCGCCATAACCCCAGGGCCCGCCCACCTCCAGCCCCTCCTGCTCAAGGGACATGCCCCCCAGGAACGGCAGGTACCGCGCCCCTAGCAGGGAGTGCAGGCGCGCCGCAGCGACTCCTGCGCAGGGAGGCACGATTGATCAGAACCAAAAAGGCGCAGAGGAAGATGAGGGGGTCGCAAGCGCACACGCCCAGAAGCGCGTCACGGTTGGGGGTGCAAAGGACAAGATCAGGTGCGGGGCGTTTGCCGGATGAACCACGGCGTGTAAAGGGCGGTAGTTGTTGAAAAACAGCATCGCTTGCAGGCTGAAGGGTGATGAGTGCGCGGAAGAAGTGGCGTTGGCCCCAACGGGGGTTATCTGCCGTGCATGAGGGGTTGCAGAGGGCGCTCACCTGCAGCCTCCGGCAGCTGCCCGGCAAATGCCGGCGACCAGATGTCAGTCTGAGAGGGGCGCATGGAGGGGGAGCGGGGGTTGTGGGGTCAGCAGAGGCCATTTGAGACGAGGAGGAGCGGCCGTGATCTGAAAAGCCTTGCAAGGTGGCACCATGTGAGGAGATAACATCAGAGACGAGCATTCCCAAGGCTTTAGGGCACCATGCTCGCCGCATGTGAGCGCATGCATGCGCGCGCACACACACACACACACACACACACACACACACACACACGCGCACACACACACACACACACACATGCACACACACACGCGCGCGTGTGTGCGCACACGTGCCGGCATATCCCCCCTTGCTCCTCCTGTCGTATTGGACGACCCAGGCAGAATCCTCACCTCCTCTTCTGCTATAGCCCGCGCGGCCTTGAACGTCTCCGCCAGCTCAGCGGCCTCATAGGGGTGCGGCCCCGCCGCGTCCACACGCCGCTTGAGCTCTGGCGGCCAAGCGAGAAAAGGGGATGTATGAGCACGTGTGCGTCTTGCGTGTTTGCCGTCATACCAGGCCCCGCATGTGGATGAGCGCACGCGCGCCTCGCGCGCTTGCCGCCGTACGAGGCCCTGCATGGGTGCGGGCCCATGGCCCCAAGCCCGGCGCCTGCGCAGTTTCTAGTGACCCGGCGACGTGTGCCAGGCGCGTACGCGCGCCCCTGCACGCTCAAGCAGCGGGACTCCCTGTCCGCCGTCCCGGCGCCCGCACCCTCACCCTTGTCGATGGAGTTGTGAATTGCGGCGATGATCATTCCCACGACGGAATCGGGGGCGTCACCCCTGTCAACACGCGAGTGCATGCATGTGCGTATGTTTGTCATACGTGTCGCGTGCGAGCGCGCACACGCGCGCGTGTGTGTTTGTGTGCACATGTGTTGTGTGGGGGTGGGAGCACATGCGAGTCCCAGCATAGCAAAAAGACAGCTCTAATAATAGGCTATCTCAAACCATCTGGGCTGCAGAGCGCCACAAGGCTGGCAGGACCACCGGCGCCACCAGCAGCCGCGGCGGCAGTACTGTCGCAAAACGTCGGCGCCGATGCGACCCCACACGTGCTGAGCGTAGTGGACTGCTAAGCAATGGAAGACCATGTCAAAAAAGCGTTTTGCTGAAACCAGCCAAACGGGGGTGCAAAGCACCTTGGAAACTCAATTGCAGCTCCTATGACCCTGAAGCAGCCTTGGGACCCAACACAAACACACACAAACACACACACACACACACACACACACACACACACACACACACACACACACACACACACACACACACACACACACACACACACACACACACACACACACACACACACACACACAC